GTAGAGACTAAGATAAATGGGGGAAATGACATCAGAGACATGCAGAGATGAAATGTGCCACAACCAATGGGGAAGGAAGAATATACCAAAGAGTTAAATGAACTAGCCAGATGTGTACTAGTGTGAGACATGAGAATAACCAATGTAGAATAGTGTGAGACAATAGAATGTGGCCCAAAGTGGAAATGAGGCTAGAGTGAAAATGGAATAGAATGAAACACATGCAAAGGCCAAGTGTGGAAGGCTGAATGGGGATTGATGATGTAAGACTGCATGAGATGATTATGTAATAAAGAAATAAAATGTGAATCCAGAGTGTCTTCTGTCCTGGGGCTTGGTCTTGTGACATCCATGGTGTTGCAGGTTGGCTGAATATTCCAGAGGGGGCTTGTCTTGATCCTTGAGATTGATGTCCAGAGGGCTTGATATTGTGCTTGAGGCTTTAATTTTGTGGGCCTCTTATTCAAGATTGGCTTACCGTGGTTGTAACCGGAGTATCGGTCGTGATTATAGTGTGCATTGATAAATGCATGCCTTCCCCCCTCCCGCCCCTCAGAAGCCTGATTTTCCAAGGAATCATGCTTCTGAGGGGCGTGCAATCAAACCCAACAATAAACTGGGAGGTGAAGGGAGAACTTGTGTTGAATTTTCACTTGTTCTCTCTTGTTTTCAGATGTCACTCATTTAATTCCTTCAAACTGATTTGTTAGTTTATTCATTATGCATTATCCTCAGCTCCCACAACTCGTGCATTATTGTATCCAAACTATTTATTTCATTTGATACTAAGAAATAAAAGAAAAACTATTGGTTCTTTATTATTTTTTTGACCTTTCCTGAAGGAAGCACTTTAGCCCTTCCCTCAGCCTGTCTGTGAGCACTTGAGCCCTCTCAGCAAAATCATAAAAGATATTATTTCTCTTGGCTTTTTAGCCTCAATTTCAGCACGATTAACAGTCTAATGTCACTCATTTACAGCTATAACAAAAAAGCTTGCGGGCTCAGAAGATATAAAATCAAAAAAAACATTGGCTGAAGTCGGAATATTTGGAAGAATACAGCCAGATGTACAGGCTGTAATGTACTGGCCAGCGGCACCAATGGGACCTGACCGGGCCCCCTGGGGGGTAGCTCTGCCCTAGTGAGGCCATGGATTGGAGGGTGGATGGAGTAAACTTTCCATCAGGATTCTGATGGTGTTACCCTCATCACCTGAAAGTGAGTGAAAAAAAGCTAGCTGATTTGATCGGAGGTAATCCATACATACATGGACCTGTATTCTTCCAAAGCTTCCAATTGTTTTCCATATTTTTTTTATTTTTTATTTTTATTTACTGACTTTGGAGCCCGCAAGCTTTCTCGTTATAGCTGTAATTCCTTAAAACTGATTTGTTAGTTTATTCATTATGCATTATCCTCAGCTCCCACAACTCATGCATTATTGTATCTCAACTATTGATTTCATTTGATACTAAGAAATAAAAGAAAAACTATTGGTTCTTTATTATTATTTTGACCTTTCCTGAAGGATGCACTTTAGCCCTTCCCTCAGCCTGTCTGTGAGCACTTGAGCCCTCTCAGCAAAATCATAAAAGATATTATTTCTCTTGGCTTTTTAGCCTCAATTTCAGCACGATTAACAGTTGAATTCCGACCTTAATCTCTTGAGCTACTATCCCTCTTATCCCAAGAAACCACCCATCACTTTCCAGCTTTAACAATCACCTCAATTCTCAATTCTCAAAAGTTCCCTACTTGCTCGAACTCAACATGGCAACCAAAGTGGTTTGCAAATCTAAAATACTCCTCACACCCGATTACTATGCCCTCTGGTTGCTCTCCATGAAAGCCAAGCTTCATAAAGCCAAATTGCTCACCATCTTCACTGGAATCCACACCTGTCCTGACCCTGAAACAGACAAAGAGAACACTAAGCTCTATGTCAAACTTAACAAAGATGTGTATGCCAAAATCATCCAACATCTCAATCAAGAAATTCTCGCGTATGTCAGCTCTACCCTACCCAAGGTCAATGAATTCAATGGATACAAACTCTGGCAGCTCCTCAAACAAAATTAAGCTGGTAAAAATCTTACTTTGAGAACGACCGCACTCAAGAAATACCTATCAATTGAATACGACTCGTTTTTGTCATTTCTTCCTCTTATTTGATCAGCCAATCAAAAGATTTTTCTCTCCAAGCTCGCCCTTGACAATCAAGTCAAGAAGATACTTATGCTTGATAAACTTCCTCAAGAGTTCCATGCCTTCAAAACAAATATCTTGATGAATTTTGCAACCAATGTGGTAAATAATACCAACGCTGTCACAGATACGATACACTGTATGTATCATGGAGAATTCTGCAAAGCTGCATGGCCAAAAACCAAATTTGTTGAATCTCCTTGCAAATAAAAGCAGATTGGTCAGATAGGTTTTTTTATTGGGGCTCAGATACATAGTGATACATGGCAGATACATGGCAGATACCGTATCTGTGACAGCGTTGATAATACTGTGTTTCTACGCAGAAAATATAAAAATTTCTTATTATCTCTTTATAAACTAAATATATCGTAAAAACAACAACAGAAATGGATTCCTGAGGTAAAATTAACCCTAGTCACCCACAACAACTGAACCCATATCTCTCATAGTTTAGAAGTTACACGGATTTCAACCTGTCACGGGATGTCTTTTGGATTCTTTACTCTCAGTATGGCTTGTTTTGAATGCTGGATGCATATTGAATATTGAATTCCTTTTGTGTTGTATTGAATTCCTTTATTGGCACATAGTGCATATTGAATTCCTTTGTAGGTGCACATGCATTCCTTTGTAGTAGGACCCTGTAGACTAGCCAAATTCCCTCACCTACATGTATTAGACCAGCTAAATTCCCTCATTGGATAATCAGGCCAGCTAAAATGCCTCAAAAGCCTGTACCCTAGGGCTAAAATCCCTCACATTTTTCTATATAAGGAGGCCTCTACCTGCCAGTTGTTCCCTCCATCATCCCACCAGTGGACCAGATCATCTCAAACCACCCTTACAGATTATATACAAGTGACAGCCATAACAATACATTATATTGAAATACAACCATAACAGTTTCATCATCATAACAAGTGCCAAGTGCCCATAACCTGCCTCACATACCATTACTGGTTGAAGCATAGCGCTCCCAGAGCAGCTCCGCGCCTTGGTTTTAAAGCTTTGAACAACAGCTGCATCAATATAATCATCACTCATTTATAACTTCAGACCCTTATACACATCACTCGGAAGCTTCATCTTGAACTATCCTCTATCACGATAAATATAACTGCCAAGCTAAGCTTGGTGGTCTTGTTGTTCTGATAGCAAGAAGGGCAGAGCTTGCAACTCCACCATCCCCTTCTCCATTCAGAAAAAGGGTTTTACAACCACTTTTGAGTCTTACACCAAACTGTTTGATCAAGTACTCCAGAAACTAGAATACTTCACTACTCAAAATCAGTTGAACGAAATCAAGAAACCTTCAATCTCATCTGAAGCAATGATGTACACCCAATCTTCTGACCCCAAAACTGTTTGTCCTCACTGTAAACGTGGATTTTGCTCCTGCTCTCACTGTCACAAGAGCGGTCACTCTGAAGCAAACTGCTTTGTCAAGCACCCCGACAAACGACAGTCCAAACCAGTCGTTTATGCCTCCAAACAACACTCAACTCACTTCACTCCCTACACTCAAGAAGATGAAGAATATCTCAAACAGAAATACCCTGACCTTCATCTCTGAAAACAATCAACCTTGAGTTCAGGAGGGGTGTTGAATTTTCACTTGTTCTCTCTTTTTTCAGATGTCACTCATTTAATTCCTTAAAACTGATTTGTTAGTTTATTCATTATGCATTATCCTCAGCTCCCACAACTCATGCATTATTGTATCTAAACTATTTATTTCACTTGATACTAAGAAATAAAACAAAACCATTGGTTCTTTATCCTTTTTAGATCGGTCCTGGAGGAGCACTTGAGCCCTCCTTCAGCCTTGCTCGGAATCACTTGAGACCTTCCTGCAAATCCACAAAAGTGATTCTTTAGGCCTTTTTGCCAAAAATTCAACAAAGAAGAGATGTAGTAATAAAGAATTCAAAATTGAGTACTAGTTGACAGTAAGGTTTTTAATTGGTCAAGGTGTCCAATAGGCTGCAGGTGCAGAAAGCTCTTTTGTGGAAATTTTTATTTTTGGCCTTGCCTGTTTATAAGCCCATTAAACAGCACAGGTTGGTCCAGGCTGGTCAGCTGAATTAAAACACTCCTCCCTTTTTTGGAAGTTGTTTTTAGGCAGTGCTTAAGTTTGGCTGTGGGCAAAGCCACCCCTCCTGCAGGGGGGGGGACTTCCAAACTTTTTTTGGGATCTGTCTTGAGCCGACCCACAAAAGAAGGCTGGAAATTCACACATTGACTTTTATGGCCTGTAGTTTTGATACTGTTGATCCCAGCTACCAAGACTGAGAAAGATGAATGGCCTCTAATAGAGCTTATCACCTCATTGAGATGCTCATCAGGCTTTTCTTGGCCAGTTTTTGAATCCTGTCAAGATGAGTCAATACTACCCTCATCTCAGAATGCATTTGGGCCCACAGGCTGGAGCGTGGTAAGTTTTCATTTCTTCTCCTTTTTCTGCTTTACTCTTCTGATTGAAGATATGTCTTCACAAACTGAGTTGAGTTAAAGATAGCCAGGAATCCAGGATGCAGGTGCATCTTTCCTTCTGCCAAACGTTACATGTAGCTTGCAAGATGAGAAAGCTACAGTCTCTGGAACTTGGATCTGATTTTACAAATATTCTCTCAGGAAAGAACCCCAACATAGTTTGTAAGTCCCTCCCTGTGGGAGGGCCCAATGGGTGGCTCTACCACCAGCCAGTGCTTCACACCAGGGGTGAATTAGTTGAGTTAGGCTGGTCAGCGGGCTCCCACAGGCTTTACCAGTACAGCCAGATCCTGTAGGATACTGCTGAGAGCGCCTTTCAGGCTAATGTTCAAGACTCCAGAGTCTCAATCTGTAAATAAAAAAGTGTTCATCTTTTGTGATCATAACCCATGGCAACAGTGGGCTGCTACGCTACACTATGCTAGAGGGCCATATAGCGTTAGCGTAGCGGCACTAAAAGGGGACCTTTTTTCTGTAGTGTTAGTGTGCCGCTACTGCCACTATGCTGTAGCGCTGCTAACAGATGTCTTTTTTCTGGGTAGTGTTAGTGCACCGCTACAGCTGCTATACTGTGTTACACTGTGCTACAGCGCTTTTAGCGTCAAAAAAAGGCAAAAAACCCACTAAAAAGTGCTGTAGCGCGGCTTAGAGGGCACTTTTTTGTGCCCTGAGTGTGTAGCATTAGCGCAATTCCAACTTTCAGCCCTAACTCTACGCTAAAAGATAACACACTCTTGTGCCCTTTGTGCGTAGCGTTAGCGCAGAAGTGGGGATTTTTGCTAACGCTACGCTACAAATTAGCGTATTTTTGCTGCGCTATGCCATGCTAACGCTACGGTTAGCGCAGCTGGCCCACCATTGCCCATGGCCTGAGGGCGGCCCACACTCTCAGCTTTCCAGCACACCCAATAGAATGCTTCTGGACAGCCCATGTCCACACCAAAATCAGCTTTTCAGACCCAGCCTGGCCTGTCCAATTAAGTTGCAGGTAGAGATGGGCTAGACTGTGGGCGGCCCAAACCTGCTGAATTATTATCCCTAGTTTACAGCTGATACTTTGAAAAAAAGACAGCAGAAGAGATGTCAGCCACAGAGTACATGTCACAGTACCTTTCATGTACCAAGTAACTGCAACACCTGTACATAAGTACTTATCCATAATGTTGATTACCTTTACCTCTTGTTATCTTATTATTATCATTAACTTATCTTATCTTATTTATCTTACATTTATCTCATCTGTTAATTACTTATCTATTAAATACATACCTGTGTACTACATAAGTAATTATCACTTACCTTTCACTCCTTTGTCCGTGAAATACCTGTACCACAAGTTATCCCTCTTCTACAGTATTTTCACGGTCAAATATTATTACAAATAAATATGTACATGTATTAAATAGTAAGTATTAAGTGTCAATAGAATTAATACATTCAATACATGCACTGATCACAATTTTGACTACATTATTAGAGGATCTGTTAAGTACACGCATCAAGAGCAACTAGTACGTTGATCAACTAGTACACAATTATGATGTCACTTACAGATCATGACAAATAATGATCAGTCACTCAATTGATGTGCTCATTCTCCTGGCCAAAGCTCCCTTGATTCTGAGCACTCATTCTTTCCCCCCTTCAGTATTCTGGAACTTATAATCCGTGCCTCTTTCACTGATTAATCCCCAGAATATTCAGACACCAGTTAAACCAGTTAACATTTATATTGATACAGTACACGTAACCAACATAAATCTAGTCTACATTTATTGTTCTTAAGCTTCAGTACTCTTACTCAACTTATCCACAGTATTCATAGCCTTGCTGAATATTCCCATCAACAATACCTGTTAATCTTCAACTAATTTTGTTAAAGCTTAATAAGTATTGTTAGCCCATTCCCTTTTGGGAATAACCAAATCAATCCCAGGTGAGTCTTAGTACCCTGGATGCCTATTAATACCTTGTATTGATCCGGATGCGCTGTTGATAGCAAGCCTCTCAGTAAAGACCATACTGATAGAGTGAAACCTCCTCTTTACAGGACTGGTATTAATCACCCACTACCTAACACTCACCAAGCTCAAAAACTTCAGTCAACTCATAGTAACAACCTTTTTTACTATTAAATACTCAGGTTAGTTACCCAGAGGCTGACAAGAGAAGTGTTCAAATTTGTTGGCTGACACATAGTTGAGATTTAGACCAGTTGGGTCTATAATACCTTGGTAGATTAGTCTACAGTGGTATGAGATTCAAACCTGAGTTTCTCCTGTGTAGTCTGCTCCAGTTCCAATAATTCTACTTTCCAATTTCAAACTTTTATTTTCATCTTCCCTTCCTTCCTTCCTTCCTTCCTTCCTTCCTTCCTTCCTTCCTTCTTTCCTTCCTTTTTTTTATAGATAGGTTTGTTGTGGGAATTAAAGATCTAAAATGAAGATTATTGGTTTGCTGGCACAACCATTTTCCTTAGCCTTTTTAGATAGAGAGAGAGAAAGAGAGGGTGATATGTATTCTAAGAATCCCCAAGATTGATTGAGGGGTTTGGGTCCAGAGATGGAGAGACTGATTGAGACAAGATTGGAGGACTTCCTGTTGCCATTTAGAGTTTTTTTTTTTAGATTGCCCTCAGTTTTAAATTAATACTCTAATCAAAACCACTACTGGACAAGGCTTATTGAGAAACTTTTTTTTCCAAAAATTGAGGTTGAAGTGGTGTAGATTGTATCCTGGCTTCCAAGGGGAAGTTATTGATTGGTTGCTTAATACCAATCTCTTCCTATATCTTGTTGTTGTAACATTCTGGTGATTTTACCAAGATACCTGCATGCATGAGTGGAGGACTTTCTATCCAAATCTGTGGATCCCTCCCTCCAGTTTTGAATTTGATTCTGAGCCTTGAAAGCTGGATTTATGTGCAAAAATCCAGACTTTTTGGGCCTGGATCCCAAACTGGGAGGGCCCCAGATCCCAATCCATGGGAACTCCTTCAATAGGTCCATTCATAGAGCTTTCTGCTTGGTTTGATTTTGGATGCTTCACATGTTGCTTAAACCTCTGTAGATTTGTGTTGACTTTGCTGATTAATGACCACTGTCTTATTCTGATTAACAAAGCTTGACGACGTGTGCCCCACCTGTGTTTTCTTTGAAGTGATCCTGTGTTTGTTGTTCTTTGAAGATGGATCTAAGGTGTGGAGGTGTTGGACCGCGGAATGGCGTGGGCCTGCTGTTTGATGTGATGAGATGAGATTTGGGCGGATATAATCAGGATGGATGGATGGGTGGACTGAGGTGGACTGTTGTTGGCTTGAACTTGAAGTTCGTGAGGGGGATGATCGAGCGCATTGGTCAGCCAGTGGCCTGACTAATCAGCTGGGTGCTGGCTGAGCGCGGGAGAGGCTTATAAAGATCGGCGAGACTGGATCAACTGGCCTGTTGACCACCACCCCCAAATACAGCAGAGGAACACAGCAGACTCAACTGCATATAGTACAGTTCTCAACTTCCCTCATCAATCCATCCCTCCTTCATCCCCTCCCCAATACAAACACACATCTCCAACTCACATCCCAAAACATGTGTGGCATCTTTGCCTATGCCTCCTACCTCGTCGAAAAGGTCGGTCATCTCTCTCTCTCTCTCTAACTTCCTGCATCTTCTGACCACCGATCTCATCCCTACGTCATTTCCTACTGTTTGACTAATCTAGGATCGTCGTTATATCATCGATACCTTGCTCAATGGCCTCCAAAGGCTAGAGTATCGTGGATATGATTCTGCTGGTTAGCCGTCTGCTCTTCTCTTTTTCACTCTGCTTGATCGAATGGAGTGACTGAAATACCAAGGATCCCTGCTGGTGGTATAGGTATCGAGCTTGATGGCGACGAGCCTGGCCAAGTGTTCATCTTCAAACAGGTCGGCAAGGTCAAGTTGCTCCGAGCTCACACCGATCAAGCCACCATCGATTTCACCAAATCCTTCCTCATGCAATCCTCCATGGCCCATACCCGTTGGGCCACCCACGGACAACCCTCCTCGTTGAACTGTCATCCCCATCGATCCGATGCCAATAACGAGTTCACCGTCGTCCATAACGGCATCATCACCAACTACAAGGAACTCAGATTGGTCCTCGAGAAGAGAGGCTACCAATTCGAGACCGAGACCGATACCGAGGTGGCTGCAAAGCTCTGCAAATTCTTGTACGACAACAGCAAGGGTAAAAACTTGACTTTTACCGGTTTGATCAAAAGTGTCATCAAGGAATTGGTACGCCATATTTCCCTTCTCTTCTTCTGTTGAGTAAGACGCTTGTTCTTAATACTGTGCTTATACGCCCTGCTTGTTACTATTTAGGAAGGAGCATTTGCCTTTGTCTTCAAATCCGCTCACTTCCCAGACGAGATCGTAGTTTGTCGAAGAGGTTCACCAGTCTTGATCGGCGTCAAGACTGAAAAGAAGCTCAAGGTGGACTTTGTAGATGTCGAGGTGGCTGGGCCTAATGAAGGCGAACTCGAATCCTTGTCCTCCCCCACCGATGCGGCCTCTCAAGCTAAGTCTGGCTTACTTGCCCCACCCACCGAAGGCGGTTTGAAACCTGGGGGTGCCAAGTTGATCCGATCTCAATCTCGGGCCTTCTTATCCGACGATGGAGTCCCTCAACCTATCGAATTCTTCATCGCATCTGATGCCTCAGCCATCGTAGAACACACCAAGCGTGTCTTATATCTGGAGGATGACGATATCGCTCATATCGCCGAGGGTGAATTCCATATCCATCGTCTCAGGCGAAACGATGGTGTCTCCTCCGTGAGAGCTATCGAGACTCTTGAGATGGAACTCGCCGCGATCATGAAAGGTAACTTCGATCACTTCATGCAGAAGGAGATCTACGAGCAGCCCGAGTCTGTCGTCAACACAATGAGAGGTCGAGTCAACTTTGACACCGGAAGGATCAACCTTGGAGGCTTGAAAGCCTACCTCCCTACCATCCGAAGATGCAGGCGCATCGTCTTCGTGGCTTGTGGAACCAGTTTCCATTCCTGCTTGGCGGTAAGTCTTCTCAAAACCTGTCGAGACATCTGTGATGGTGCGCCCTATGTATACTGAGCAATTGCTACTTTTCATGTGGATGTAGACACGTGCCATTTTTGAAGAGCTGACAGAAATCCCAGTTTCGATCGAGTTGGCGTCTGATTTCCTCGACAGACGATGCCCGATCTTCAGAGATGACACCTGTATCTTTGTCTCCCAATCTGGAGAAACAGCGGACACGATTCTGGCCATGCGCTACTGTCTCGAGCGAGGAGCATTGAACGTGGGGGTAGTCAACGTGGTCGGCTCTACGATTTCGCGTGAGACTCATTGTGGTATCCACATCAATGCTGGCCCGGAGATCGGAGTGGCATCGACTAAGGCCTACACTTCCCAATACATCGCGTTGGTGATGATGGCCATCCAACTCTCCGAAGATCGCATGTCACTCACCGAGCGAAGAAATCAGATCATCGACGGACTTCACGAGTTGCCCCGTCAGATCAGAGAGATCTTGACTCAAGATAAGGAGATCCAACAATTGGCTGGTACGATCAGCAAGGAACGAAGTTTGCTCATCATGGGCCGTGGCTACCAGCATGCGACTTGCTTGGAGGCGGCCCTCAAAGTCAAGGAATTGACCTATATGTTTGTTCCTACTCTCCCCGTTTCCCTTTTCCCGATTGCTCCTTTCGTTCTAGAACTGATTTTAAGTTTTGGATTCGTTCAGGCATTCCGAGGGTATCTTGGCCGGAGAATTGAAACATGGCCCGTTGGCTTTGATTGATGAGAAGTAAATGATTATCCCACAAAAAGAAAAAGGAGGGAAGGAAATGGTTGGGCAAGATTGCTAGAGACTGACTTGTTCCCCCCCTGTTCGCGAAAAAAAAGCATGCCAGTAATCCTGATCATGACCAAGGATTCTCTCTATCCTAAGGTCCAATCGGCCCTCCAACAAGTCACTGCCCGTAAAGGTTCGCCAATCGTGATCGCTAACGAAGGTGACACTGGCTTGACCGCCGCCGACTCCACTCGGATCTTGAGGGTCCCTCAAACGGTCGACTGCTTGCAAGGTCTCTTGACTATCATCCCTATGCAGTTGCTCAGCTACCACATTGCTATGTATGCTCTCCCTCTCATCATCCCATCGTCTTGGAACTTACGTCTTTGTCTATATCCCTTTCTGTCATCCTTTTCTAGCTTGAGAGGCGTCGACGTCGACTTCCGTAAGCTGCTTCTTTCTTCATGTTCTATACAAAACTAAGTCTTGGGCAGCATCTGACTTGAATCGGGTTTTATCTCCTTTTAACCCCCCTCCCCCCCAACTCGATATGTTATCAGCCCGAAACTTGGCCAAGAGTGTCACGGTTGAATAATCAATCATAGCAAAAGAAAGATGACTACTGATCTAACAATGGTTTAGGTTACGTAGATCAAAAAGAACATTGGGAGTTTCCTCCCTTTTTTTTTGTAACAATGAGGGCGGTGATTGGTGGTGGAACTTGAGAAGTTGAGGAGATTGTTCTTATGTTCAGTGCACTGCTCCCTTTGTCAGATCCGAGGGAACAAGATTCTCTTTCTTATTCTTCCTCAGACCTCTACATATTTATTTATTTGTTATTTATTTACACTTGTTCTTACCTCTTCTGGTTGTTGATTTTTTTTTTCACCCTGTCCTTCTCTTCTCTTTTTCCTCTTTTTAGATGAACATGTTTTGTGCGCCCCCCCCCGCCTTTTTTGTGTGTTCTTTTATTATGATTCTCATTTTTTTGAAGTCAGAGATCTATATCTACATAGGTAGATTGATTGATTGATTGATCAAATTTAGATATGAATATTAGTATCAATTGTTATTGTTCACTTGATTTCTTTTCTTTTTTCTTTGAATCATTAATCTTCCAAAACATCAATCAATCAATCAACTTTCTTTTTTTGTTGTTTGGGGCTTTTGATTTGTTGGGTTTGTTGAAGTAGAAGATGAAAAAGGTTTATGATAAGTGAAAGACATCACCATCCTTTAATTCAAAAAATATATAAGAAAAATGGAAAGGATGACTGTTCATGTGAATAAAGACTTAACGGAATGATCTAAATATAAAACTGGCATGGTGTGCTTCCCAAAAAAAAAACTAAGAACCTAGGAGATGGTGCCTTAGGTCAACGCTGCCACAGATACGGTATCTGCCCGTATCTGCCATGTATCACTATGTATCTGAGCCCCAATAAAAAAAAACTATCTGACCAATCTGCTTTTATTTGCAAGGAGATTCAACAAATTTGGTTTTTGGCCATGCAGCTTTGCAGAATTCTTCATGATACACACAGCGTATTGTATCTGTGGCAGTGTTGCTTAGGTGCTCAAAAAGCTTCTCTACTTAGGGACTTGGTAAGGATGTCTGTGAGTTGTTCTTGAATTAGTACCCACATCAACTCTGTTTTGTCTTTTCAATTTTCAAACAAAGCTTGGTTAGTAATGCAAAACTCCTGATTGGTATGTCTTTCCTGATTATTGGACAAGTCATCAGTACTGATCTTTACTGCTCATTGGTTGTCACAATAAAGGTTAACCTTCAAATCTTTCCTTAGGATGTGCCTGAGTCTATAGGTGTCTGACTTCAAAGTTACCTGAGGTGTAGCAATACCCAAGGGCATATATTGTAGTATATTGTAGCATTGATGACAACTCCTGTGTAGCTCCAATGCTTCTGCAAGCCAACTAAAATGGCCCCTTTGTGTGCTACAGGTGGCTGAACTATAAGAGTTGAGCTGGGTACACATAAGTAAAGTGGGTGTAGCATGCTGTGAACTTAGCACCTGATGTCTCACCTGTCTTCAACTGTGCATTGCTTTTTTTTCATGGTTTACAAGTCAGATTCAAAGTTGATCTTCAAACAGACCATCATCTACATGAAAATCATAAGCTCAACTAGGTCAGGGTCAAAATTTCAGTCTTCTGGACCTTCATTTTGCTTTCTGTTTGCAAGATTTTCAACTGACAGAACAAGCACTGGTTAGGGTGGTTGTTTTTTATGGCTTGGGTAGAAGGAAGCCAAAAAAATCATACCAGAAATCACAAACCTGTTTGCTTTGAAAAACAATAACAATCAGATGTAGTCTTTGGAAACCAACAGTGAAGCACTGCTTAGGGAGTTATTTCTACTGTGCCATTGTCAATTGGTGCCTCTAAACAATGTCCTGTGAGTCTATTGACTGCCAGTAAGTACATTGCCGCGGGGGCTCAGTCTCTGCAGGATTTGCTTGTATCTATGATCAAGGAGTAAAGGGGTTGCCTTTCCCTGAAGTGAACAGTTTTCAGAAGGGATTGATAATGATTTATCAATAAGGCCCCATTTGGCAGTGTCATAAATTTAGGTGTAATATTGCTTGATTAATTCAATGAAAAATAAACCAATGGGGAACATGTAATAAAATTGTTACTTGGGAACGTTCAACTACTGGTTTCATTAATGTTGTGAAAAAAATTGATATCTTGGGCCATCTTGAGCTCCATAACATCAATATTACACTTTATATGGGTAAAAAGTGTAATATTGGTATTATCACCAGGAAATATCTGAGGGCAGTAGGTGTCAGGTGACATGAAGTGACATATGTTACAACTCCATTGTTACTCTGGTGCTTGTCTGCTCAAATAACAATTTTCCCTTTGTGGTCATCAGGGAGTCCCAACCCTTTGACTTTGAAGTAACACTGGAATACAGGCAGGAGTTAGCTTCATGTCACCTGACATTTACTGCCCTCAAATTTTTCATGGTGTATGGTGCTGAAGGTAGTCCATTACTTCAATTTTTTTCATACTAACCTTGAAATCAGTAGTTGACCTTGCCTCAGTAAAAATTTTGTTATATATTATTGAGTGGTTCATTTTTTATTGAATTAATAAGGCAATATTACACTTGAATTTATGACGCTGCCAAACAGGACCTTATTTCAAGACTTTTTCAAAAGAAAAATGTGGAAAAATTGCTTGCAACTATATGAGACCCATGCATGATGGTTTACACAAAACTCTGCTTACTGTTTCTATCTTTGTTTTGTTGTGTAGTATTATCTAAACTGCCACTGGGGGCTTGGGCACTGCCATTTGAGGCTCTGCTGCTTCACTGGTGTGAGCCCCTATGTCTTGGGATAATCATATTGTTGCATTGTTTAACATTGTTTGTGAGAAGTTAACACGATACTTGGTAGATGATTGAAATATTGAGATGATAAGTTGATTAATTGGAATATGGATAAGATGGGGAGAAGTTTCATTTGTTTTTGTTCTTGAATTAAAACTGTAGATGCGATGAGATATAAAGATGTACATGGAGGGGGAGATGTCAGAGTGCCGTGGATTTACATTAAGATAACACAGCCTCAGTAGAAGAAAGTTTTCAGTGATTAACTCGGAATGACTGATGCTAAGTAGTCCGCAGGATTAGAGGAAAAAATGAGTGCATAGGTTTTTAGATATCACCAAATAGACAGGGTTTTTCTCTCAAAGCTTTTCTAGTGGCCGTACTAAGGCTTTGATAAGCTTTAAAGCCAGTCGTTCTTGATGTTGTTAGACCTATGAAATGTAAGAAGTTATTGATTCGTTCTGAGATTCCGCAGGCCAATAAGATCATCGAGTTCGATAAGGCAAAGGCGTTGTGTCGACGATTAACTATAAATGATACCATGTAACAGATCGCTGTTGCTACCTTCAAATTTAGAGTAATAAATTGATCGACAGATGTCAAGGCACGCTTGGGAAGCTAAAATGAATCATACTCGAGTTAGAAAGGAAAAAAAAAAACACGCACCATGTGGGATCTCTTAATCTGTCTACTCTTTGGGCTCGGATCTTCTTCCAGCTCATCTTTATCTGAATTCGATTCAGTTTCAGCAGCTTGATCGGTGACATCTGTTGGTGATGATGAGGAGGATGTTGAAGGATCGGATTGGCCAGTAAGTTTATAGATGAGTAGTTGGTATAGGAAAGGCATATGTTCTTGACACATATCCTGAAAGCGGGTAAATTTCTCTTCTTCACTAAAGATCGTCGGATCGATTTTTCTGGAACTATGGAATGCTCCGTTTGGGTATTCGCCACTGGGTGGGGCTTCCTTTCTAACTATTTTTTGAGCCTGGATCATTGATGGAACGATCAGCGACCTTTTCTTCCTTTTCTTTTTTTGCGACAAGTATTAAAAATTATCAAGGAAAGAAGGATCAGTACTACTCACCTCGCTTAGTATATATGAGTTCCAATACAACCGACCAGCAGCAGAGCCACAAATTAAATCACGGGCAGCGTTAACGACCTCGATAGTAGAATCCCAACCTTTAGCAGATCCCCAAAGTCTTCTCCTAATTTTTATATTCGTATTAGATTGGGTTAAGAAAGCGACCATGAATTTCTTGGGTGTCAGTTTGAGTTCTTCCATTGCCTGACAGATCCGTAAGACTTTGTCCGATTCGGTCTTGAGTGGTGGGTTTGAAGAGCAGAGTACTTTAGGCTTAGTCTTGGCCTTAACCTTTGGATTCGTATCCGTAGTTTCCAGACTGATCTGTTCTTCCATATCGACATCCATCGTCGTTGATTGGTAAGTTCTTGAATTTTTCAATTATTTTGGAGGGCGACGCCAGAAATTACAGCTGGTGTGTTAGGGTTCCGATTCGGGCCTCCGGGTTCGGGTATCGCCTTTCCGAGATCCGAACCCAGCATATCCTCCGACGCCGGGTACCCGACGGATCTGCGCCTCCAGCCCAAACTTCACCAAACAGTTTGGGGGAGCCCAAAACTAACTTTTGATTCTGAAAAAAAAAACTTGAAAAAAGAGGGTCCAAAACCCCCCAAAACCCCAAATTTCTGCCATACAGGGTAGAATATTAGGCATATAAAGACCCGATCGGATACCGGGTATGTCGAGAGTCATTGACCCGACTCAACCCGGTATCCGGTCGGGTAGCGCCGGATCTTCAGGGTCCGGATCAGAACCCTATGTTGTGTAGATAATTACGCCTTCCAGACTTTGTTTTTTCTTTTCTTGCAAGATTTTTTTTCTCCCGATCCTCAAAGCCCCAAGCCTGTCGGGTTAAAGTGCAGGAGATTACCTACTGATTACAGCCCCATAATCCCTTGCAGCTTCCCCCCAGTCCCCCCCCCCCAAGAATTTTTTTTGCAAGATTCTTCGATGCAGCTGTCATGAGTCTTCTCTTCTTGTTGGTTGGAGGCAACTAATTGCAAGACAGGCCTTGTTCAACTGTGACAGCTGCATTAAAGAATCTGACAGAAATTGTTTTTTGACATTTTTTTTTTGGGGGGGGGGGCACTGCAACTGTGATTATATCAGATTCTCACATCTGGGATTACATCAGATGAAAAAATCTGATTTTACATCAGGCAAAACTGGTATTATATCTATCAGGAGTGATATTGTATCTACCTAAAATTATGTTATATCTTTCATAACAGATATTGCATCAGTCCAACCTATTTAATGTCAACATAACTGATTTTATATCAGAATTTTACACCTGATACAAATCTTTAGCCCATGGGCATTAAATCAGATAGAAAAATCAGATATGAATTCATGTACAGCTATTGTAGGAATGTTTGCGCCGATTCCAAACTTTTTTTTTTCCTCCGATCCTCGAAGCCCCAAGCCTGTCGGGTAAATTTGCAAGAGATTACCTCCCGATTCTCATGACCGACTTGACCCCCAAAAAAAAATGTGGGACTTTGGTTGATCGGGTGAAATCGGGTGGCCTCAGCTGGTGTGTGCTCCGCGGGACTTTTCAAAGTCGGGGCCGGGCTTTGAGGATCGGGGGCAAAAAAAAGTTGTGTGAGAAAAAAAAAAAAAAGAAGTGCAAAGGGCGCAATCATTTACACAATAATTCAATAGGTTGGTCTGATGTAATATCTTTCATGATATTGATAGACACAATATCATTTTAGGTAGATATAATATTAATTCTGGCAGATACAATCCCAGTTTTTCCTGATGTAATATCAGATATTTTTATCTGATACAATGCCAGATGTAGCAATCTGACAATCATTTTGGCAGTGGGGGGGGGGGGAAGTCCCAAGAATAGTATGGGCAGAGAGGCTTTCAATTATTTTCAAAAAATGTATTGGCCTTTCAATATTCTTCTCCTTCTAGTTTATAGTTGCTCCAACAGATCTGATCTATCACCTGCCTTTAGGTTCTGCGGATAAGCTCCATAATTTCATCTCTGCAAGTAGGGTTTTTTTGGGAAGACCTGTTTTATTTTATTTCTTTCAAAAACTCAAATGATGAGAGCTAAAAATTGCAGGTATGAAAGAAGCAAGCAGATAGGGGATGTTTAATATCAGGTTTCAGTCTGAAGTGAGAACTTGTGACACAAAAAAAGGCCTCAATGGCTCAGAGGGCAGCACTGCCATGTTTAACAATTGATTATGGTTAACGTTTTAGCTGACTGGCTGGCCATTGAATTGGAAATGATAAGAAGATTCTCATGTGTTGATTAATAGTGAGGGGGAATTGGTCAAGTGGAATTTGGATGGAATTTTTACTTGGTTGATGAATCAATATCATTATCACGAGGGATATAAAACTAGTGCTACGAGGGACATATGTTTTGATGAGGTGTGTGAAACAGAAGGTTTCACATTGGAAAGTTGAAAGGGAAACCCATGTTTTCTGAGCTATTTCTTTCCAAATAGTCCCTCTTTGACATGTTCAGGAACTGGTGTCCCATATAAATTCCTAGGAAAAATTAAAACAACTTGTTCAGCCACTTTGAAAAATCTAGGATCATGGCTTGATTTTGAGCCCCAAAAAGTGAACATTTTTCACATACACATGATGTATTCTACATCCAGTAACCTCTATCACCGGATCAACAGCTTCACAATTTGGGCAATAAAGCTCAGCTCTTCTATAGTAATTTCCCAAACATATTGGACATTCTGACATTCCTGAGGATGTAATTACTCTGATTTTTTCAGAGGGATTAGCACAGTTTTGATTATGTACCAATAAACATGATATCCCAGTCAGGAGGAAAATGTGCAGAATAGATTCCTTCCAAATCTGCATTATGAGAATTCAAATTATTGTAGATTGAACTTGAAAGGATTTCAAATAATGATGGATTAGCACATATTCAAATGGTGTTGATTTTCCTTCTCAATCTTAAATATCATCAAAAATCCATACCTTGTTATAGTTGTCTATGATCTGCTCACTTTTATTTTATGCTGGTTATTGACACAATTGGTAGATCAACAGAATAAATATCTCTTCTTTTCTTCAAGGTATTTTCAATTCAATATTCTTATCTAGAAACAGCAGAACTAAAAACAAGCTCCACACTGACAGTCTAGGTATCTTTGAGGAGTTGAAAATTTTGTAGACACCAACTAACATCTGCCATATCCAATTGGTTAATTGATGTTGCTTAAATAGTCCAACAGGC